ATGACGCTGAAATGACGCTGCTTTAGGGCCAGTGTGGTAACGTCCACAGTCCAGTTCAAGAAGGATGTGGTCAAGTTGGAGGGTGTCCAGAGGAAGATGACCAAAATGGTGAAGGGTCTGGAGACCACCAAGCTCTATGAGGAGAGATTTAGGGAGCTGGGATGTTTAGCCTGGAGAAGAGAAGGTTTAAAAAGGACACAACAGCCCTGTTTAAATATTTGAAGGGATATCATATTGAGGACAGAGCAAGCTTGTTTTCTTCTGTTCCAGAAACTTGGACATGGAGCAATGGATTCAAGCTAAGGAAAAGAGATTCCATCTAACCCATAAGAAGAATTTCCTTATGGTAAAAGATGTTCAACAGTGGAAGATACTACTTCAAAGGATGATGGTCTCTCCTTCTTTGGGTTTTTTTAAACAGAGGCTGGATGGCCATCTTTTGGGAATGATTTTATTGTGAGTTCCTGCATGGCAGAGGGCTGGATTGTATGGCCCTTGTGGTATCTTCCAACTCTGTGATTTTATGATTCTACTATGCAAGGATGAAGTAAGCTCTTAAATGATGCCAGGGAAGTGCTATGCATCAGCATTTGGTGGCAATGTCATAGTAGTTTCTGGAATTCAATTGGTTTTTCTTCCCCCCTATTTTAAACCCCTGATGTCAGATTTTCAACGCATCTAGAAAGCACAGACTCAGAAGGGGACACCAATTGTGGTGACGTGCATTTTGGTAATTTCTGCTCCTTGTTAAAATGAAAATAAAATCAGATCTGAAAGTGAAGAGGAAGGGGGGAAAGGGATGGGGAGAAAGGCCAAGAAGAATAAGTGAATTTCATTTTCAACTTAAATTCTAATAGGCTTAACTCAATCCATTTGTTGAGTCTGATTGCCGTAGCTTCCCATCCAGGGAATCATTACATTAATAAAAACTAAGGTTGTATGGAAGGTCACTATAGGAAGGCACATCACATTAAAAAGAAGACGAAGTGGGAGTCTAGCATCCTAAGACCTTCCTTTTGGGACACACAAGACCTGCTGAGTAACCAGTGTCAGGTTATTTTACAAACATACCCTTTCCTCCCACCCACGCCAAATTTTGCAGACTTGGTGACCAAGTTAAGCGCTGGAGACATTTTGCCTAGTAGGATGACTTTTGACCTCTTCCTGACTAAATAGACCTAATTGCTGCATTTGTCTGTCATTTGAGCTACAAATAATTCTACCGAGGTCATCAAAAGAAAGCTGGACTTTTTTTTCACCACCGTTGGAGAAGCTCCTAATTGGATCCTGCAGGAAAAGAAAACATGGGAAGCTTTGCAGGAAGCCAAGTGCCAGCATTTCAGTCTAAGCAAAGATTTGGCTACTGATGTGAACTCAGAAGGGTCCAACTAGAGAGCATGATAATGACAGAGTTTGCTACATTGCGCATTGTGTATACACATAAGCACACATTTTCCCCATATACGGTATATATTTTTGCAAACCGGAAAACTCATACCCTGCCACTGTCCTAATTTTGCAGGGACAGTCCCAATTAATCCTCTGTCATCTCATTTTCTGGCTGCTTTTAAAACATCCTTGGTTCTCTCTCCTCTTTCCACTTTTCCCCTTTGTCCTCAGGTTACTTCAGTTGTTGCAAACTGAGGTCAATGTGCCAAAGCATATTGTACTCAGCAGGGAAAGGAGTGGAGGGTCAGAATCTTGCCCTTCCCAAGAGACTCAGGCAAAAGCAAACTGCTGCATTCTCTTCTAAGAGATTGTGTTCTTTTGCCATCTTGACCACACTCTGATGTTGCTTGGCCACACATGTCCCAGTTTTCATCAAGGAAATGTTGGAGGACATGCAAACTGTCCTTGGGATCTGGAAGGGGGAAATGCACATGGAGCATTCAAAGGTATAGTCATGTTGGTCTGTTCAGAAAAACAAGCAAGAGCATTCTGGTGCCTTTGAGTCTATCCAATTCATTTGAAGAAGAGCTTTCATAGATAAGCTACCACTTCCTGGGATACATGGGAGAAAGTGGTTGGAATCCATAGAAACTTATGCTATGATAAATCAGTTAGGCTTGAAGTACCACCGGATACTGTTGTTTTCATGGAAGCATATTAGAAGAAGCAAAGTGGGTCAGACCAAGATGGAAAGTTCCCCTTTGGAAATGATTGGACTCCCCCCCCCCCCCAATAAAATGTCTACATTCATTTCAAGGTTGTAAGAAGAAGAAGTGTTCATGCAGTGCCATTGTGTATGAAGAAGTAAGTTGTGCATGCAGAAATGCATTAAGATGTGCATGCATATTTGGGTGCATATTTCATTGGTGCAAATTGACTAATGAGGTAGCATTGTGCGACTGCTGCATAACTCTATGAGCATAAAGTTATGCTCTTTTCCCCTGAAAATAGGATCTCAGTCTGAATTTCACATTACAATTGCACTTGTTGTTGTTGTTGTTAGCTGCCTTTAAGTTGACTTACGGCAACCCTATGAATGAGAGACCTCCATATTCTGAATAGCCCTGCTCAGGTCTTGCAGACATAAGGTTGTGGCTTCCTTGACTGGTCTTCTTCTTTTCCTACTGCCTTCCACCTTACTAAGTATTATTTTTTTCTACTGAGTGCTTTCTTCTCATGATATGGCCAAAGTGTGACACCCTCAGTATAGTCATCTTTGCTTCTAGGGAGAGTTCAGGCCTGATCTGTTCTAGGACCCATTTATTTATCTTTTTAGCCCACAGTATCCTCAGAACTTTTTTCCAGAACATCTCAAAGGAGTTTACTTTTTTCCTATCTGTTTTCTTCACTTGAATTTCTTTGTTGTTGTTGTTGGGTGCCTTCACGTTTCCAATTTATGGTGACTCTAAAGCAAACCTGTTATGGGGCTTTCTTGGCCAATTGCTTCAGAGGGGGTTTGTCATTACCATCCTCTGAGACTGAGAGAGTGTGACTTGCCCAAAGTCATCCAGTGGGTTTCCATGGCAGAGCTGGGATTTGAACCCTGGTTCCCAGTGGCTTAGTCCAGTGCTCAAACCACGTAGTGCTCTCCTCACTTCGAGAGCGTAATAGTTAATTGCCAAAAAGCAGAAGCCCAAAATCTCAGAAGAGGACACAGATTTATATAATTTTGTAATTCCTAATTGCACAATTAGGAATTATTTCGACGTTTGCATCAATCCCTAGTAATTAGCATGCGACATCCTTAGGCAAATTGGGGCCCTCTTGTAGGGATTTTGCATTTCCTCTCTTTTTTGGCAATTGATCCCTCTACAATTGCAGTGTGAAGGTAATATAAAATTGCATGAAAGAAACAGGAAAGCAAACCAACCGACAGACCCCCTTCATTATACCCATCAAAGCCTTGGATTTCTCTGGAACCACCACTGTCCTTGAAGTACCCAGACACCCTCTGAAGTGTCCTTATCTTCAAAGGGAAGGCACAGGCCCTTCTGTGATGAGATGAGCAAAGTGTCTTCGCTTTTTGCGATTCCATCTCTTCGGAGGAGCATGCGAGTCCCTTGAAGTCCCCTCTCTTTGCTTTTATGTCATCTTGGCCAGCTGTAAGCCAGAGAAAGAGAACTTCTCACTTCATCCTTTCTTGCTTTTCCCAAGGACTGAGAGAGAGCACACTGTTGCTTTCATGGAAATAACCCAGATAACAGGCTGAATAAATGGGGAACTCCACATTGATTGATGATCTTGGATATGCTTTTTGCAGGTTAAGTAGTTTGGCTTAAAATCCATCCATACTGCAAAAGAAGTATTTTAGAAGCTTTACAGTCTCCTTGCTTCACTATCTTTGGATGGATAGATGGATGAAGAGTGTTGATGGACCAATCTTTCATTTTCATTTTCTGCCATATGTTTGCATGTGTGTTTAGATCACTGTTTTGCCAAATTCTCCAGCGGAAGATGGTGTTAAGTATTAGCCTCTAGGCTGAGACTATGTGGTGGTAAGGTCTTAGGTCTATGAACTGAGAAATATTCTTTTTATCTAAAACACTTGGAAGGAATAGCACCTCGGTTCTAAACAAGGACAAATCAGAGATGCTGTAGTTAAAATGTTAGGCTACTGGTTGCTTAAAAACCATTGCGGTATAGTGGCTTGAGCACTGGATTATGACTCCAGAGAACAGGGTTCAAATCTCTGCTTGGCCACAGAAACCCACTGGATTTTTATGGGTGAGCAGGATTTGAACCCTAGCATACCAATCCAACACTCAAACCGCTACATGTTAACTCTCCATTAGTAAGCACACATCATTCATAGCTTCCATCACTAGTATTATTGGCAGCTTGAGATTGGCTGCCTTTTATAGTGGAAGGCAACAGGACTGAACACAATAGGAAAAGAAGAAGACTGAATTACAGATAGACTGTCACAACCAAGGAAGCCATAGCTGCCCTGAAATTATAAGACCTGAGCAGGGCTGTGTGTAGCAAAATTTAGGCTGTATCTGCTCTGCAGAAATAATGCAGTTTGACACCGTCTTAACTGCCAAGGCTCAGTGCTATGGAAGTCTGGTATTTGTAGTTTTGTGAGATATTTACCCATCTCTATCAGAGAGCTCTGGTGCCACAACAAACGACAAATAGAATGGTGCCACAGCAATCATGACAGTGTCAAACTGCATCATTTCTGCAGTATGGCAGCACTGCATTTTGCAGACTCTATAAAGCAGCACATGTCATTTTGGGAAGACCTCTCTTTTTCTGGAGGGGTGTGTGCTTATGTGATACCTAAGTGGTAACCTAGACATTTTTCAAGCCCGGGGCTAACAAGTCCTGAGACAAGTGTTAAGGGTCTGGGTTTGCTTCTCACACTTCTCTTCCTTACCCTTCTCCATTTTATTTCCCTTTTTTCTCCTTATAAAGGCATGGCTCCCTTTCCGCAGCAGAAACACTGGTGACTCGAGAGGTCCCTGACCTTTGGGCTGCCAAACTCTCGCTAACTAAATAAAAACAGGCCGAGAGAGAGTGAGAAGGCGGATAAATCAGCAGGAGCTGACAGAGACCACCTGGTCCCTTGCTGCAGGGAGGTATCAGCTGCCAAATCTGGAGTCTCATGCATTTGAGAGGGCCTAATCCAGCAGCAGTGTCTCCTGCCAAGTCCCATTGGAATGCAAAGGAATTAGGTGTTCTGGTCAAGGTGTTTTCTTT